TGTAATGCTACTGGTATTCCATGGTTCAATAAGGTACTTGGTACTACCACTACTGACTACCTTGAGCTGAGGGTGTGTGCTGATGATGGAATAAATAGTGAGGATGCTCCTGTCAGCTTTTATGAGTTGTATGTCAAATGAAATTTGAACATGCAAAGACAGAAAGAAGCTGTTAAGATGCCTTGCTTAACTAAAATAAGCGTATGTGTGATAGGACTTATTTCTATATAGTTTCATTGTTGTGATTTTTATTAAGTTTTTAGAAGTAGCAAAATCTCATTTAAAGCATAAACTTTACATTACTATCGTACAAGATGATTTATTGGTGGGTGTAATATTTGGCAAATTTGCCTGTAGAAAGTTATTGGCAAATTTTATATTGGCGATTTTGTGCCATGTGCCATTCTCGGCCATTGAGCATGCTCAGTTTGAAACAAAATGGCGGATTTTATATTGGCAATTTCTTCATAGAACCACCAATCGCCAATATTAATTCCTTGCCAATAAATCATCTTGTATGGTATTACCTTCACAGCAATTATTGTGGGTGACTAATACCAGTAAGTGTAGGGTGCTTATCTGTCTGTTGTCAGCTTAAAATTGTTATAAGAACCATGCAGCCAGCATGGGCTTTCATTATTTGTAAAGAACAAATATGGCAAGCCAAAAAGACATATTCCTATTCCAAGTATTATTAAAAATTGATTGTTCTGAACTAAAATAAAACTAAACAAAATTTGCTCAAGGCTTCAAAAGTATGGCCAAACGAAATCTACTCACTTTATGGTATCAGTAGCATTTAAAGGATAATACCGTCTATCTGGAATGTTTTACTGTGATTTAAATTTTACTGGATTAGAATTTCGCAAAAATTAGATTACCCATATAATTACATGCCACATTCAATAGTACATGACACAGTCTTATTTAGTAAAAATTAAGTCACAGCACAATTTTAAACCGCAAAAATTTCCTACCACACTAATTTCCTGATCTACGGTATATTATAGACATGTAGAAGCAATAACCCAATATCAATTGTAATTACTGCTAACAAGTACATAGTTAGATAACTACTTAGTTATTGAAAAAATACAATCAACTGTATGAATTGTAATTACTATCAACAAGTGCATAGTTTATACCTACAAGCTACTTAGTAATATATACAATCAACTGTATGAATTGTAATTACTATCAACAAGTGCATAGTTTAAACCTACAATAGTCTTAGTAATAGGATTACAATCTTGGTAGTAGATTTAATCTATTAATTAAAAGAAATTATGTATACTGAGGTTACTATATGAATGTAAGACTAGCTTCTTTGTTGGAATTGTTTGAATTAAGTTACAGCAACAATGGAAGAAAAGGAAAAATACGAGGACATGTCATACATGTCATTAGCTCCAGTACAGAGTCAGGAGAATCCTTATGAAATGGTTGATTTCAATATTAATGCAAGGAAGGATCATAGTGCTGGTGCTCCATCAACAGAAGTGGCAATAAAGAATAAAGTATCAAAGCAGTCAACATGGAGTACACCATTGGTTGTTATTGCTGGACTGCTGTGTCTCATGGTATTGCTACTGGTGGTAATACTTTGCTTCTTACTGGTGCAATTTTCTGCAAAAGATGCTACCAGTACCAGTAGTACAGCTACTACTGGAGCTATTGCTGGCAGCTTTGTTCCTCCTAACTTCACTGAATGGGCTAATGATGTAGTATCTAAAGTTAACCAGACCCTTCCTGATTTCAATCAATGGGCTAAAGGTGTCATCTCTGAAGTTAACAGCAATGTAACACAGAGCCTTCCTAATTTCGATCAATGGGCTAATGGTGTTGTATCTAAAGTTAACCAGACCCTTCCTGATTTCGATCAATGGGCTACTGATGTTGTATCTAAA